CCAAGCTTACCATTCTGAGAAAACTGCTCTTTCAAGCAAGCTGGGATATAAGACTGTATACAGGAGAATTTATTGATGTAAGAGCACTGTCTCAGGATACAAGATTTAGCATCCTGGAAGGACTAGGGGATTATGCAAAATTGCTGCCAGGTGGTTCCTGGAAGCCTAGGAAAGTGATGGCCCATGACACGTGAGGTTGAAATGACTAAATTTCTGGGGCCAACAGTAGAAGAAAGGATTAAAAGACTCAGAAAAGTGGATGTGCTGGAATAGATATATGATGTTAGGCCAGAAGATCCACCAGAGAATTAGGCTTCACAGGATGGCTCAGAGGAATCACATTCATCAAGGCTGTCAGGAACACACTGGTGAGAGGGACACCAACGTCACTAAGAAGTTCAGTGGTGCTTCCCCTGCAGGACATAACTGATGGAAGGAGGGGCTGTCCTGGAACCTGGCTCAGTAATAGCAATGGGGATGATAGGCCCTGATGCAATAGACACCATGTGATGGCCCTTTCCTGCAGAAGCCAGGGCTTGTAATGACTAAGTCAGAGTGGCAGCCAGGGGGCCTGACCTGTAAAGAGCTGTAGGGACTGTGAATAGAACAGTTTCCCTAGGAGGAAAATAGATGGGTAGCACACAAAATACTGTTTAACATGTGTAATCTAAAAAGAACAAGAATTAATAAACAGGACAATGAGGAGGATGGTCACCCCAATAAAAAGTCACAATTCCTGGCCCACTTTCTGTACCTGAACCAGTGTTCGGACTCAGAACCCAGTGACTGAAGAGGTGGCCAGGTCCTCAGGGAGAAGGACCTGCAACATGATGGCAAGAATGAGCTAGAATTGTTCCTCCAATCCTTCCCCAGGGAGATCTACAACATTTACGTGGATGACAGAAGAGAGTACCCAGACATTTTGATGACTGTTGGGCACAAGGTCAGAGGTCACCAATACTCTGCCACGCCACCTGAAGCATCTTCGTGGCTCCCATGTTAGAGTGGGAGCAAATGGAGGCCTGATTGAGGTCGAGCTTACAATGGGTCCCCTGGGTCCATGAACCCACTGGTTGTCATTCCTCTAACCCCAAAATGTATAGTTGGCATTGACATACTTGGAAATCAGGCTAACCCTCCATTGCATCCTTGTGATCCTTCCCTACTGTGATAGCTCCCACCTGTTAATGTAGCCAGCCTTTGTCACAGACCCCTTTCCCCTCATTGCTGCATGATGGGTAACTGAACAAAGAGGCTATGGTGACAGAGATGGAGGCAATGCATGGACTATCAATTTACCAAAACGAATATAGGTACTACCACCTCTGAATGTCCAATCTACCAGCCATAATGACCGATGCTAAGCTCTATTCCTTAAGGAGACCAATAGGCTACTTGGTGACCAGGTGACTACATTGGGCTCCTTTTGTCCTGGAAGGGCCAGCAGTTTGCTCTCACTGGAATAGACAGATTCCAGGTATGGGGTTGCCTTTCCTGCCTGCAGGACCTCCATAGCACCAATCTCTAGGGACTTAAAGATCGCCTGATCCACAGACATGGAATCCCACATAACATAGCATCCTACCAGAGGACTCTCTTCGTGGCACAGGAAATGGGGGAGTGGGCCCATGAACATGGGATCCGCTGGTCATATCACACACCTCACGACCCAGAAGCTACTGGATAGACAAATATTGGAATGGCCAGTTAAAGATGCAGCTCAAGATCCAGCATGAAGGCAATACACTGTAGTGATGACATCTCCTCCAGGACATCAAGGGATATGACTTCAATCAGACAACTTAGTGTCTGATTATGGTGCTGTGTCCCCAACAGAAAGAGTACGTGAGTCTTGAAACAATGGGCGGAAGCATGAGTGGCCCCCTTAGCGTCATTCCAATGACCCACTGGGCTTCCCTGTCCCCACAACTCTGGGCTTTGCAGAGTTAGAGGTCTTGGTCTCCAAAAGGAGCACATTTTTGCCTGGGGACACAGCAAAGATCCCACTGGACTACAACTTATGGCTGCCACCAGGCACTTTGGCTTCCTAATGGTCAGAGACTAGCAGGTAAGGCAAGGGAACGCCGTATTATCAGAGGTAACTGACTTGGTCAGCAGGAGGAGATAGGGCCGCTGTTAGACAGGGACTGGGGAGAAATATGTACGGACTCTGGTGACCTATTTGGGTGCCAGTTGGTACTCTTTTGCCCAACTGTGACTGTGAATAGACACAAGAGCAGAAAGCCTGGTCTGAGATGATGCTCAGACACCTTAGGAATGAGGATTTAGGGTGTCCACTCAGGTAAGCTACTGAGACCAGGTGAGGTGGTAGCCGAGGGTGAGGGGAATTAGAATGGATAGTGGTGGACAGGTATGATGAGGAGCAGCTGTGATCTTGCAACTGATTGCAGTGACAGGGGCTATAGTTCATCCTATTAACTTCTCTAAGTTTTCTTTCAGGAAGAGCAGGGCCCATCAGAGCCCTGAAGGAGCTGTTCCCTGAATACTGATGGAGAAATAGATCCATGTGGCACAAAGGGTGCACGATAGCAGACATAATGGGTTACTCAGATCCTCCTTCAAGCCAGGGCTTGCTGCCCAGCTGCAAGGAGTATGTTTAGCTGATAGTCTCCAGCTTTAGCTCCTTCAGGATCCGCCTCAGTGTTTCAGCTGAAGTCACACATTTCTTCACGGCCCCCGCCAATGACGAAGCAAGGCAGGGTACAAGGGCCTAGGCCTTTCTGCCCAAGGCTAGACTTGCTCCCTGTCAGGCTGGCAGAGACTGTCAGGTCTACATCGCCGCCTGACAGCTCCCACAGATCAATCCTGCTTCTTTCCTTGACTTTCTCTGGTGTTACATCCCCGGAAATCTTCTGTATCCTTAACTCCATATCAGTATCTGCTTCCTGGAGAACCCAACCTGTGACGATACAAATTTTAAAATTTCCCAAAATGTCTGCTTTTTCCCTTCCCACAACCCCTTGCATCGTTTTTCATGGCCTCGAATTGAGGGGATTTTATATCTCTATTCCTAACCACTCTAACCAAACCGTACTCCTTTTCCAATCTCCTATATACCCATTGCAGCATTTAACCCCTGATTTCCTTATGTTTTAATGTTTTTTCATGTCTTCCCAAACACAAGCTCCTTGAGTACAGGGACTATTTCTTAAACTTCGACATGTTCAGCGTAACTACCATAAAGGCCACACAGAAGATACTGTGCTGAATTTAATCAATTAGACAACAAAAGCTCAGTCCCTGGGAACCTGTCAGACCACAAATAAGGCCAAGTGAATTGAAAGGTAACTATAGGGGCCGGCCCCCCGGCTTAGCCATTAAGTGCCTGAGCACCGCTGCTGGTGGCCCTGGGTTCAGATCCCTGCGCACACCTACACACCGCTTCTCCAGCCATGCTGAGGCCAAGTCCCACATACAGCAACTAGAAGGATGTGCAACTATGACATACAACTATCTACTGGGGCTTTGGGGGGAAAAAAAAGGAGGAGGATTGGCAATAGATGTTACCTCAGAGCTCGTCTTCCTCAGCAAAAAGAGGAGGATTGGCATGGATGTTAGCTCAGGGCTGATCTTCCTCACCAAAAAAAAAAAAAAAAAAGGCAACTGTAGAAGAAATTGCTAGAGGGAACAAGAAGTCAGATGATCCTGTGCAGGCCCCACGTTTGGCTGGTGTTCATTACTAAAGTACTCTATTCCCGAGCCAACAGTTCATCTACCTCGAATTACCAAACAGGAGAATTCCCATTAGTCATTTTGAAGAATTTCTAGTTTGACAACCAAATTCTATCATTTTTAAAAAAGGTTTATTTCTTATCTGATCAGTGATGCACTTCTTTTACCTGGGAGTGTTGGGAGGAAAAACACTCTTCCAACTTCCAACTTTTTCCTCTTCCAATTTGGGTCCAGTGATTGGAGGCCTGCAAATTAACTGACAATAGACAGATTAACAGGAGAAAAGACAAGATTTGTTCACACATTGGGAGGGGGGAGGTTCCAGTAATGGAAAACTCCTGAAATAGCCCAAAGTAACTTTATATATCTCAATTTAACAAAAGGGGTAGTGGGGTTTAGGACTTCAATGGGAGAGTATGGAAGGTTCTATTGGGCTTTTTGATGCTAATAGAAATGGGCAGTCTGTCTCCAAGGCAGCTGAATGAACAGGAAACTCTCTTGGAAAAGGGTTAATGGTAGCTGTATTTTCTGGAGGCTCTGCTTTAGCAGATTAAGAGAAGTTCAGATAAAATTTCTTTCTGCATCATCTGTAGCTCAAATGTTTTCACTTTAAAATAATCTTTATACCAACTCTTGGGGCCTACGTGGGTCCCCGCAGGGGGAAAAGGTCTTGTCCAAATACCTAAAGAGAACCTATCTAAAATCTTGGGATGTGTCTAAGCCTGCTCGTCTGTGAGTACTTGCCACCAGGGACTAAGCGGTGTCCGGGACACCGCTGTTAGCGATAGACACAGACAAGAATGTGTCAAGACGGGGTTCTTCAGAAAGCTTGTGAGAAGGCAAAAACGAAGGAGAGTAATAATCGCTGTTCTTTAGGAGGGCATGGGAGAAAGTGCACGTTGGTCCTGGCCAAACGGACCACGATCTGGGGTCTGGGGGCCAGATTTGGGGAACCTCGGGTAGCATCCGGGCTCCAGCTCGAGGGCTGTGCGTGTTTACTCGTTACTTCCTCAAGTACAGAGCGAGGATAATATCTAACTCGTGGAGTTGTTGTGAAGATTCACCAATACCGGGCGCCCAGCACGGAGCAAGTGCGCACTCAGGTCTATTCGTTCAGGGGATGTGTCGGGTGGAGAAAGAGGGCTCCTCAAGGGGGTTCCCAAGACTCGCGTCATTCGCCGCTTTCAGCTGGCTTATAAAAACTCTGCCAGCGCCCAGAGATCATTTTTAGTTTCTCTTCCTTCGAAAGAATCCTCGCGGTGCTGAGCTGGGGCACCTCACCCTCGCGCAGCCTGGAACTGAGAGGGAGCTGTCCGGGTGGTGCGGGCAGATTTGCCCGCGCTTGTTCGCTTTCATTCCATTCGGTTGCCGTCGCGATAGATTTTAAATCTGACACAGGGACCGGGTCGGTGAGATCTGGCCTCTTGACCCAGAGCTGAGTGTGAAACCGAAAGCGCTGCGCTCAGCTAACGGCGATGGAGAGTGCGCGCTGGCTCGCCCCGGGCGCGCCCAGCCGGAGCACCGCCCGCGCCCGCCCCCGCCCCCGCCCCCGGGGACTCTTGTAAGTTTCGATTCTCCCCGGAGCAGTCCCGCGGCGCAGCCAGCCCAGCGCAGAGCGCCATGGCGGACCCGGAGGTATGCTGCTTCATCACCAAAATCTTGTGCGCCCACGGGGGCCGCATGTCCCTGGACGCGCTACTCGACGAGATCGCGCTCCCCGAGGCGCAGCTCTGCGAGGTGCTGGACGCGGCCGGGCCCGATCGCTTCGTGGTGTTGGAGACCGGCGGCAAGGCCGGGGTCACCCGGTCGGTGGTGGCTACCACTCGAGCCCGGGTCTGCCGTCGCAAGTTCTGCCAGAGACCCTGTGAAAACCTGCACCTCTGCAAGCTCAACCTGCTGGACCGGTGCCACTATTCGCAGTCGGATCGGTAAGTGCGCTGAGACGGAGGGGTGGCTTCCCGGGGTCCCGGTCTGGGAGGACTGCCGCGACTGCTGCTCCTCGAGGGGCGGGCCCTCGCGGGGACCTCGCGCCCGACAGCCTCTTCCTCCAGCTCCTCACTTCTCTGCTCCCCTTGGAGAGCCCCCGCTAGGCCGGCGCTTCTACTCTTGGCAGTTCCCTTTCCTCCAACGCTTCTAGACCTTTCCTCGAATATGGCTAACGCGATATTGCCCGGGTGAAGACTACGCTTAACTCCCACCCCCATGAGAATAAAGTATTTTTGGGCAAGCCAGGGCCTAGAGAATTTGGAGGCAGGTTTGGGAACAAAGGAATATGCCTCTACTCTCTGGAATCTTGAGTCTTTCCCTCTCTGTTAGCTTCGTCCCTAGGCGTGTTGCGGTCCTCCCAGCACCCCAGCCGCGTTCGGCACCCGGATCCGTCTCCACCGCACTGAGCCGGGGATCTCTGCTTGGCCCTCCATTCCTCTCGTTATCACTTTTCTGATATCTGAAGCTAGTCCGCACCCCCTGACCAGGAGAGTCCTCTTCAAAGTTGCCAATGATGGATGGTTCTCACCCAGCGCTCCTTTCCCGTGGTGTCACTGCGGTGGCCCGAACCGTTGACGGGCTCTTGGGACCACTTGGAAACAGTGCTTACCTCTCAGGCAGCTGCTTCTGTTGCCACTTGTTCTTTTTCGCCAAATAAATATAGGTGTATCCCAAGGTTTGAGTTAAGCCTTTTGACCTGTCTTCCAAGTCTCTCCCTAAGAGAGCTCACTCCCTTGGGTTCAGCTGTCACATGTACAAAGACGGCTTCCATATGTACATCTGCTGCCCACATCTTCCTACTGACTCTAGGTTCTTCATCTCCCAGGGTCTAAGGAGCATCTGTACCTGAATATCCTGACAACACGAAGCAAACTCATCTTGTTTCCCCCAGGGCAGGCTCTCTGACAGTCCCCTCAACCCCTTCTTCATCCTTCACAAACTTGAAGTGGTGTCCTAGTGTCCAAAATGGTGGTCATCAAACTTTTGATCCTGCACTTGTTAGCAAAAAACTTTACTTACCCCCAATATATGTGCAATAAAACATACAAAAGACAGGTAATTTAAATGGATGAGGTAGGTGAGATTAATATTTTTTTTAAACGTATTTGTTTAGGGCAAAACTGTAAAATTTTTAAAAAGTGCTTGAGTATGCTCTGTTATTTAAAAAAATATTTGTTGAATATGTTGTGAGGCACCAATCTGAAAGTCTGTTTCTGAGTTTCGGATTATGTGTGTAGAGGGAGTCATCTAAGTCACAACAACAGATGAAATCAGGAAGGAGGAAAGGAGGGGAGGGTGGAGGATAGAAAGAAAAGGAAGGAACATTCTAGCTCACTATACTGAATAGCAACAGAAGTGGAAGGCTTTGTTATCTCTTTTTCTGTTCTGTTATGAAAAATTATTCACCAACTAGTGTTGACTTTTAGTTTTAAATACATATGCTTCCTATGTTTTAATTTTTTACTACGGATATATTCAAAATATACTAAAGTAGAGAAATAGAATGATGAACCTTCATGTACCCATCATTTCACTTCATCGGTTTCCAAAAACCGTGGCCAATCTTGTTTCATTTATTGGCCCCTTCCCATCCCTGTCCCCAACTCCAAAGTGTTATTTTAAACCAAATTCCAGAGATCATTTGCTTTGTAAATGCTTAAGTATCTCTAGAGGATAAGAATTCTATTCTATTAACATAACCGCAGTACGATGATCACATTTTTTTACAATTACAATTTTAATATCATCTAGTATCCAGTTGGTGTTCAAATTTCCCTGATTGTCTTATAATCTGACTTGCGGTTTTTCAGGAAAAATCCTACACAGGCATAATCTATAATTGTTTCGATATGTTACATATCCAATATATTTAGAAACTTTGTTTCAATCTCTTACACACAATATGTTTAGAAACCTAAGTTTTTTGTTTTATGAATTTTATTATGGTATTTTTTTTTGCCTGATTTGAAACATTAAAACCATTGAAACTCATAAATTGGGTTGTTAACCTCCACTTTTCTATATTTTAAGAGTGTGTATAATATAGGGATAATTTGGTATGTGCAAGTTTGGATGGATCCTCTGGGGAATTCATTAAAGTTTTATTTTTTAATTTTTTTTAGTGAAGTGATAAATTCTTATTTCTTACATTTACTAATCTAGTCACATTTTTAATTTCCTTTTACATCACTTTTGAATTTGAGAATTAGAAATTTTTGATCCATTAATGTACATTGTTTCCTCATAATAAAGACCCTTGGGAGATTTTTTTTTTTTTTTTGCCTGAAAGCCTAGAAAATGGTTTTTTTCCCCAAGTATGTTTTTAAAATAGTCTCCCCTTAGCAACTTATAAAACCTTCTCTTCTAAAACTTGGCGGTGTGGGAATGTAAGGACCTTCTTTGTAGGTTACATGTTAATGGAATCTGTTGACCAATTGATACCCATCTTGAGATTACCGCTCAATTTGATAAACTGTTCTCTGCCTGAGGACAGTTTGCATTTTGCTGGACTTAGAAAATTTCCTCTCTAGTGCTATTATTCATACATAGGATTTCTCCTGTTTATTCTGTAGTTCTCTTTTCTCTTACATTACTTTTATTTTTATTTTTTTAAATTAATTAATTAGGGGCTGGTCCCCTGGCATAGTGGTTAAGTGCACGAGCTCTGCTGCTGGCGGCCTGGGTTCCGATTGCCGGCGCACTGCTTGTCAGGCGATGCTGTGGCGGCATCCCATATAAAGTGGAGGAAGATGGGCACAGATGTTAGCCCAGGGCCTGTCTTCCTCAGCAAGAAAGAGGAGGATTGGCATGGAGGATTAATTAATTAATTTTGTTTGTGAGGAACATTGGCCCTGGGCTAACATCTGTGCTGATCTTACCCCACTTGGTATGAGGATACCAAATGGCTTGATGAGCAGTGTGTAGGTCTGCACCCGGGATCCAAACCTTCGAAGCCAGGGACGCTGAAGCAGAGCACGGGAACCTAACCACTATGCCACATGGCTGGCCCCTAACATTGCTTTTAGTTATACATTTTAGTCAACGACAGGGCTTGCTTCAGTGTTGGATAATTATTTGTTTTGGCACATCACTTTGGATATTTCTGTTTGTTTTGCTGAAATATATGCCCACATGTGGAGTTGTAATCCCAGTTCTGACGCAAATAATAACTACCATTTATTGAACTAATAACCATGTACCAAGCACTATGGTAAGCACTTTAGAGATGGTAGCCAAGTTAGTCTTTACTATGATTCTTGAGGTAGGTATTGTAAGTCCCATCTTGATGTAAGGAAACAGGCCTAGAGCTGTTTAGAAATTTACCAACTGTCACATAGCAGATAGTGTTCAGACTTAGTATAGAACGCAAATCTGAATGACTTCTTAACTAGTCCTTGTGTTGTGAAGTAGCTATATGAAGTGTGATCTTTCATTAATTCCAGTTATTTTTTTGCAAGCATGATTTCTAGTTAACCGTTTAAAGCAGGCTTGTCAAAGTGTCTTCAACTAGCTTTGTGGTTTCAGCCCATGTGGGTGTTTCCCCAGGGCTTCCTGTTTGTATGCCTTTCTCTTGCTTCATTGAAACTTTGGGTGGGGGTGGGTAGATGGGAAGAGGATTGGTTGACTATTTCATAAATTGAAAAAAATACCAAAAAATGCAAAGAATAATATAACAAGCATCAGAGTATATATATTCTGAGTATGTAGCAAAAGTTATATAAAGGAATATATAGTATAATAAGCTTATAACTCGCCTCTCAGAATAAATAAATGTTTACATTTTTTCATTTTTGCTCCTTATCTTTTAAAATAAATAAAAACCAGAAAAGGCCTAAGGGTGTTCTTTTTTTCTCTTCCCTAGTCTCCTTCCCCTCTCTCCCTAGAAGCAACCTCAATCATGATTTTGGTGTGGATTCTGTCCTTCCATGATTTTATAATTTCCTTGCATGTATATTTGTATCCATATACAAAATGTAGTATTGTTTTATGTGTTTTAGAATGTTTACTCAATGTTGTGTTTTGGAGATCTATTCATGTCCTAAGGATCTAGTGTATTTGTTTTAACAGCTGTATAGTATTTCATCATCTGATTTATACCACAGTTCAGCACCTATTCCCTCAATAATGGGCATTTGTGGTATTTCCAATGTTTTGCTACAACAAACTGTGCTGCCAAGAATATACTCTTGGTGCTCATGGCAGGAACTTCTCCAGGGTAGATCATTAGGAAAGGGAATTGCTGGGTTGAATGGTTGCACAGCTTCAACTATTCTAGATTCTGACAAGTTAGTATTAAAGGTGGTTGTTCCAGTTTACACCTTCATGTTTGAGAGTCCCCGTTTTCCCATTTTATGGCCAACTAGCACTTGGTGTTACAAGACTTTTTTGATTTATGCCAATCTGAAGGGTATAAAATGGTATCTTATTATTTTAATTGTAAAAGAATTTTCTCATTAAAGTTTCTATTATGTGATATTTAAGTCTTAAAAAATATATAAAGATACAATGAATATCTGTGTGCCCACACATCAGCTTCAGAAATAGAATATCACCCAGTTAACCCCCCTGAATTCTCTTCCTCAATCATCTCCCCCATCGTAGAGGGGATAACTAGAGAAAAACACTGTTCTTTTTTTCTCTCCAGCTCAAGTAAGATATGATTGATTAATAAACATTGTATATATTTAAAGTATACAATGTGATATTTTGATAACATATATACATTGTGAAATGATTCCCTCCATCAAGCTAATTAAACCATCCATGACTTCATCTATTTACCCCCCCGTTTTTTTTGATGGTGAGAACACTTAAGATCTACTCTCTTAGCAAATTTCGAGTATATAATACATTATTATAAACTATAGTCACCATGCTGAACCTTAGATCGCCAGACCTTACCCATTTTATACCTGGAAGTTTATACCCTTTGCCAGCATCT